CCGAATTTAAAAAAATATATTTTAAATTCAGTTTGAAATATCCAAAGTTTAGTGAATTGAGGAAATCAGTTTTATTTCTTCAAAATGCCAAGCAATCAAAGTTAAAGTGAAGGGTATCGTGACGTAAGATTTTGAAGTTCCGCAGAGATTGTAATTTGAAGAACACAATTTTCTGCCTGAATTGGAATTTCGGCCCAAATTGGAGTTTCGGCCCAAATCGGTCCTTTGGTCGGAATTGGATTTATAGCCTGAGTTAGAGTTAAAGTGAGGATTTAATTGATATAAATTGAGGAATTAAAAGTTATTTCTTCAAAATTATCATTGTTTTTTTTCTCATCTGAACCAGAGGTCCCTTTAGTTTCGGGCTGGTGGCCCGGTTAGCTTTCTGCAGGAGCTAGTTCAAAAGTTCGCACGGGGTGCGTTCTTTATAGCTAGTAGATAATAAATGACAGAAAATAAATCATGTTAATTCAATCTACCGCAGATGGAAAAGGGCTAATGAAATAATTATTTGACCAATCAGAACTTAGCACCAACATACCTAGTATATTTTCCGACCAATCATCTTATATGAAACCTAGCCTCTTTGATCCGTTCAATATTTATAAAATGGATACACAAACTGTTGCAAAGTTCGCATAGTAGTATAAAAAAAAAGTTACCTTTGAAGAGATCATCTCATTTGTTAGAACCGACAGAACGATTGTAAATTTTTATGCTTTGTTTGTGCCAACAGATTTTCGATTAACTTCTTTCACCTTTCGTCGTTCAGAACACAATCAGCAGCAAATGAGAATGGTGGCAGCAAAAAAAAAAGATATTTGTCAATGTTGATAAATAATTTCAACAAAGACTACTGCTTATCAAAACCAACAATGAAAACACCTCCCATAAAATGTAGTAAATTGTGACTCTTGACATCTTTAACTTAATATCTGTTTCCTGTTGCATTCTCTACAGCTTTTAATTCGGGATTATTTCCCAGTTGGGTTTTTCTCGCAAAGCTAGTCTAAACTGGAATAAATGAATTTGGTCACGTTACGCATATAAATGCGATCACCGTAGTTAAGCATCGTCGAGCTCGGTCTGTATCTAGATGGATGACAGCTTCGGAATACCAGGTGCTGTAGCTTGGGTGTGAGGATGGTATAATGGATAACAGCTTGGAATTGTTAATCGGAGAGCCGAGTTCTTATTGTCTTCTTCCCCCAGCTATGGGTTAAGTACTAGGACTTGCATTAATAAATCATTATCATCTTCAAAAACATTATCACAATGTAAAAATATGACCTGGCTTTAAATAACCTGCAAAAGTTTGATAAACCTTAAAAATTAACAAAAACAAATCAATCAAAAGATTGTCACGCATATACATCAACAGATACTCTCCAATGAGGTAACCCAGTCGGCTGTGATACACCAGTGAGCTTGTGTACTGTGTTACTGTCTCATTTACAGTGACAATATACCCGCCTATCCTCTTATGCAGTGGTTTCGGCTAATCATCTCTGCAGACTTTCCAAAGATTATTTTGCTGGAATATTTGTGTGGGAATTAGCATTGAGATAAAAAGAGTCAAGATGATGTTGCTCGTTCTGAAAAACCTTTGTATAATAATAATAAAGTCTAGTTTCAAAAGATTCTTGAAATAAAAACAACAAAGATATTCTACTTTGAATAACTAAATGATAATAATATCATATTAAAAAAAGCTTTGTGGTGAAAACAACTGATGTGATGGAATAACCTGGCACCCCCATGAGTGGCGGCAATAAAGGTGGTAACCACCTATATGTATCCGATAGGACAACGGACGAGAGAGTCGAGCTGGGATCTTTCCCAGCTGCGCCAGTTGAACTCTTTGCTTTCGGGCAGAGAGGAACCCGGGCGAGGCTATACCGAAGGGCAGAGTTTTGTCCGGGGAGGTAGACAGACCCGATCCCGTTTATGCGGCGTTTACGGAGATATTTTGGCCGAGCCTCTGGGCTCGGAAATCCCACTTTATATTCGGCCTTGTGCCACATGTCACTAAATACCGTCGCGTTGGGATCTTTCCCAGCTACGCTAGTCGAACTCTCTGTCTTCGAGCAGAGAAGAACCCGGACGAGGCTATGCCGAAGGGCAGAGTTTCGTCCGGGGAGGTAGACACACCCGATCCCGTTGATGCGGGGTCAACGGGGATTTTTTTGGCCAAGCCTCCGGGCTCGGGAACCCCACTTTAAATTCGGCCTTGTGCCACATGTGACTGCGTGGTGCAGTTACTAAATAGCATCTAGCTGGGATCTGCATGAACTAGCAGCCTTCCGATATCATCATGCACACAACTGTACTGACTTGCGACGACCGTACGCATAACTATTACTTCCTTGCTTGTTGTACTGGTTTTTGCAATAAACCTGTTACTATTTATGCAACGTGTTTGTTCATTCCATATTTCTATTAGCACGGAATATAACAACAACAGCCGAAATGAGGATTCTAACCCGATATAACCATTATACAATACATCAAAACAGTTTCAATATAAAAACAAGCATGAAGAAGATACTCGCCTAGATGAATCATTTTAAAATAACAACGGCATATCAACTCAAAGAACAAAAATACAGATATAACCCAATCAAAATAAAGACTAGAAGTCGAAAGACGTATTATGTAATAAATAAAACTTGCTTTACTATTAAGCCACGGGAAAGCAGCAAATAAAGGTTCAGTTATACTATTTAAGAGATGTGCAACTCTTTTCTTTTGATAAGTTTCGTTTTTCTACCCGAAATGCAAATAATTTTTAAGCCATTCTTTTCTTTTTTATAATCTGGTTTTATTTATTATTAGCATAATTATTATATTTAGAGGGTACCTGTATTTGAGTAGGTGCCCTTGACCTTTACACTGGCAGGCATTGTTTTTTTTTTATTGTTTAACGAAGTTTTACTATGAAAACCAAAGAAGGAAAACATTAGAGTCCGAAAGTCTTAATGCGTAATAAATAAAGCGTGCTTTACCTTTAAGCCACAGAAACCCGTCACAGTAAACCAAAGCTCAATTATACAATGTAAGAAATGCACATCTCTCGTTAGATCATTTCGAAATCTAGATCTGAAAAAATGTATGTCTGTCCGCGAAACATAAAGAAAGTAATTTGTATACAATTAATTGACTCATCTGGAATATGGCTGCCTGACTTTCCACTCCGAACTGAAATTATATTCAGTGATATGCATATTATTCCATCTATGTTTTCTGCCATCATCTCTAAACTTGACCCCCATGAAGTAGCCGGGCTTGATGTTAACCCTGCAATAGTTTAAAAATGTACTTCTGAACTGGCTCATGTTCGCTGTAAATTATACAATAAAGGCGTGTAAATTTATATAGTATTAAATTAAAAAAAAAATCATACTTTATTGCTTATCACTGCAATATCATTAGTTTTGACATAGAATCTTGGCTTCAGCCACTTTTCCCCGGCCATAACGTAGCTTGTCTGTATCTTTTCTATAAATATTTCCAGGACAATCTTTCTGTTGAATTCTATTCTATGGTACCTGAGCTTTATGAATTTAAGCGCAGTACTAGATTGGCAGCAAGGTCTCATCATTTTACAATTGAAATGGCTAGATGTAACCGCAAGTTCTATGTTAACAGTTTCTTCTGTCGCACTTCTCGTTTGTGGAATTCTCTTCTGGTTTCTTGTTTCCCAATCAAATTTGATCTTCAAAACTTTAAATGCAATGTCAATCTCTATCTTGTGATTTTAATTCATGTTCTTATATTGTTCTCTCTCCTTAATATTTTTTTTCTATCATACCCTCTCACATCCATTAACCTTTTGTATCTTGGTGACTTTATTACCTTACTTGGGGTGAAATGATTAAAAAAAATGAATCCTATATTATTCCTACACGATTTCTTATTACTTTTAAATATTATCCTGGATCTCATGGGAGTTACGCTAAATTAAACGCAAATTCAAAGCTCAAAAATCGTTCCCGATGATTTGGGAGAACAACCAAACTTTAAATTGAACTTCGAACGTAGGTATATATATATATATATATATATATATATATATATATATATTTATATATATATACCTACGTTTGAATTAATAATAATAATATTTTGTATTTAATCAAATGTAAAAATTCGTGCCTGATGAGTTGGTAGAACAACGAAAATTTACGTTGCACTTCGAACGTATATATATATGTGTGTGTGTGTGTGTGTGTGTGTATGTATGTATGTATATATATATCTATATCTATATATATATATATATATATATATATATATATATAAATTTCTTATTGATATAAATGTTATTTTTAGTGGGAATACGTATCTAAATAGACGTCCTTGATATCTAAATCGGTAGACATTGATTTCATTCTTCCAATATTATAAAGCACACCAAAGATAAAAATGTGAATCATAAAGATTTAACGTACATGTCTCGTCTACCCAATTCAGACAGAAATTATTTAGAATTGGCCTCGACGTGAATTTAGAAACTGTTTTGTTGGGCTCGTTCCCTTCGCCATTTTCCAGTTGAAGTAATTAAGGTCGTTTTATAGCTTTTGGGAATGTGCTGGCAAATGCGAAAAAATGCCTGAGTAAACATGACATAATTTTGTTAGCAGGAACAATATATCTATCTATCTATCTATCTATCTATCTATCTATCTATCTATCTATCTATCTATCTCTCTATATATATATATATATATATATATATATATATATATATATATATATATATATATATATAAAGAGTTGAGAAAGGGAGAAAGCACTAAACATGTTTACCGGATGAAGTGTCAAAAGCCGAGACAGTAACACACACAAAAAGTTTTTTTTTTTTTCGTCCGGGCATAAGTAGCAAAAAAGATATGCATGGTTGACCAGAACGTTATTCACAGACTATTCTCGCGAGATCGCATGATTTTTGAGTTGGAAAAACATAAAATAAATAAAAAAGCCAAAAGTGTGGCTTTTTAATGTCCCAATCAACATTCCACTCCGGGTTCATAAAAACAAGATCATCGACCGACCGACCAATCTATCTATCTATCTATCTATCTATCTATCTATCTATCTATCTATCTATCTATCTATCTGTCTAACCATTTCTTAATCACTTCATCCCAAGTAAGACGATAATGACATTAAAAAGCAACGAGCAGTTGGGAGTGAAAGAGAATGAAAAGACTTTAGAAGGATCAGGAAACCCAATCCTAAACAGGAAACAAGGGATAAAACCCCTAGTCATGTTCAAAAGACTGGAGAGGAGTATGAACCGCACGATAAGCAAACCTATCTACTCCTATTGAGAGAGAAGAAAATAGAAATAAAATTTCAGAGTTTAGTGTAGCATTTTAATGTTTCAATCAAAATCAAGCCACCCCAGGTTTCTAAAAGCAAAAGTATCTATCTATCTATCTATCTATCTATCTATCTATCTATCTATCTATCTATCTAAGCATTTTAATCAATTTACTCCAAGCAAGCAATGATAACGCTAAGGTATAAGCAGATATTGGGAGTGAAAGAGAATGAAAAGGCTTTAGAATAACAGGGATAAGTCCCTCCTCCTGTACAAAAAAACGGGGAGACGAACCTATTTATGCCTATTAAAGAAAGAAAAAGACCAATTAAATAGTAAATAATATTTCAGTGTTGAAGCGGAGACGTTAGAAGCACAGAACTGAAATAGACTTCAAAAGGAATCAAAAACACAATTCTAAACTGGAAACAAGTAATAAACTTCTAGTTTTGTTCAAAAGACCTGAGAAGAGTGTGAACACCAACCTCTTAAACAATCTCTCTCTCTATCTATCTATCTATTTGCGAGGGCCGACTTCAAAGTTGTCTACAGGTTCTATTTCTAATATATCTATTTCGATCTGTTCACATCTATCTATCTATCTATCTATCTATCTATCTATCTATCTATCTATCTATTTGCGAGGGCCGACTGTAAAGTTGTCTACAGGTTCTATTTCTAATATATCTATTTCGATCTGTTCATATCTATCTATCTATCTATCTATCTATCTATCTATCTATCTATCTATCTATCATAAAATAAACTCAAAATGTTTGCTATTTATGCAATCAATATACGTCAAAGTATATAACTTAATGTATATCAAATTGAAAAGAATTTCTTCAAATAAATTGCTCAATAGATATCTAGATCTATAATTATTATTAAAGTAAAAAATAAAAATGTTTAATTCAGGTTTTCTTAAATATATATGTACATGTATATCGCTAAAAATACGGATAAAATCTTATAACTGACACCAAAAAAATACCATATATTTACATAATAATATATCTACTTACTAACGTATATATATATATATATATATATATATATATATATATTATTGAATTACATCATATTACAAAAAATTATTATTAAATAAACGTTTCTTTTCAGTTTTCATTGTTCCATTCAAGTAGTTTCGACAGCTTCAGTCTTTATCAACAAACGTTTCTTTTCAGTGGTAGATAAGTTTCCTGACATTTTCCGAGCTGACACTTTGAATCTGTCCAAAGTTTAAAACGATTACATCGAGCAAGACCTCACTGTAAAAGCATGCATCAACTATTTATACGTATAATAATAATAATAACAATAATAATAATAATATCAACAAGAAGATTAAGGAACTAGTCCAAGATGGTTCATACAAATACTTAATGAAGGAGACGGAATACGACATTCAATTATGAAGAAAAGATCCGAAAATAATATTAAAGAGTTCGTTTGATACTAGAATGCGAACTTACTGTGGCCAATAAAATGAAGACTATCAACACCTTAGCTATACCCGTAGTAACATACAGCTTCAACATTATTAAATGAAAGCTGAATAACATTAAAAGATTGGACGCGAAGACCCGAAAAATGCTTAGCCAAATGAAGATGCACCACTCGAAATCAGATGTTGATTGGCTGTACGTAGTAAGAACTTTAGAAGGTCAAATTCAACTTGAACTAAGTCTAAAAACTACAAGAAACGCATACTCACAAAAACCAATGACCCTCTCCTACAAATAGTAAAACACCAAATGTAATCTATCACCAAAGAATCTACACTCTTCATGTAACAGATTAATATACCTGAAACCCTATCAACAAAAAACGAAGCGAATACCATCTACGCTAAACGACTAAAGCATAAAGTAAAATAATTTGGCCAAATGAAATTGCAAAAATAACTGGGAGGGTAAAGTACGAAAGAAGCATATGCGGACCAACAGAAAACACATCAGTGGTCGAGGAACAGCGGGTTGAAAGATGAGAGAGAAGGCTTAATTTTTGCAGCTCAATATCAAAGCGTCGCCACCAAATCCTATCACTGTCACATAATCTTGGATGGAACTAACCCGAAATGCAGGATCTGCGGAAAATATGATGAAACTGTCGACTCAAGGGTGTCCGAAACAAGCAAAAAAAATGAATCTACCCAAAGACATAACAAGGTAGCGACATATGTGCACTAGAATATATGCAAGAAGCACAAAATCGAAACCACTGAAAGAGGGTATGAGCACCAACCAGACACATTTACCCAAAATAACGATGTAACTATTCTCTGGGACAAACTAACGGCGAAAGTCCAGCAGACCTGATATTCATAAAAGACAAGAAATTCAACAAGTATACGTTTATTGATATAGCAGTACCATCTGATAGAAACACTTCCATGAAAATTATCGAGAAATTATCCAAATACAAAGACATGAAGATCGAGATTAACTGGATGTGGGGAATGAAGAATGAAAAAAGGAATGGATAATTTTATTAACAGTTAACAGGTAAAATCGGCATAAAAGTTTCCCAGAAGATCGTCCTCTTAGGAACATGCCATATACTTAGAAAAGTGCCATCACTTAAATGAAAATTTTCCTATAGTCTCTAAGGACCATAGTTTGGACCTGGCCCTACAAGATACAGATCAGGAAATATAATATTAACAAATAAATAATAATAATAATAATAATAATAATAATAATAATAATAATAATACGGTGCCTCCTTATTGATATGGCAGTCCCTGCTGACTGCAATGTATCTTTGAAGATATTCAAAAATTTGTCAAAGTAAAAGGATCTCGAAAATGTGGCATATGGGAACATCATCAATCCCTGTTGTAGTTGGAGCCCCAGGACTGGTTGGAAAAGATTGCAGTAGACTAATTGAAGGGATTCCTGGAAGTCCATGCCTCAAGGAGATACAAAAAATTGTTCTGACAAGGACAGCCCACACCTTACGAAGGGCCTTATCTATGTAATTTAATTTTTTTTTTTTTTGTCAGTGGAAAGTGTCATGACGCCATTTCTAACCTTAGGTCCCTCGGCGGGACCCGGAAAGAAATATGTAAACGCCAGAAATCAAAAAAAATAATAATAATAATAATAATCATCTGTATAAATAGTTAATACAGGTTTTTATGGTGAGGTCTTGCACCGCGTAACCCTTTTACACATGACGACATTTTTGAACAGATTCAAAATTTCATTATTATTATTATTATTATTATTATTATTATTATTATTATTATTATTATTATGTCTGTATATTAAATATTTTATACAAGCTTTAAGCCACTGTCACCTGAGATGAAAGATATTTCATTTAAAGTTTATTTTGTCTAATAATAGCTTCTAGATTTTTTAGCCATTCCTTGTAGTGAGAACTATATAATATTTTAGTTGTTATCTACACATATGTTGATAATTCTTTGGCCATGACGAACGTCACAGCAATACGGTGCTATTTTTCCTTTTTAAGGAAAGCACATCCTCTTAACTCAGGTAACTTATCTTGAAAAGATCATATCTGCTCAGTTTCGTATCCTGAAACCTAAACAATCAATTTCTATAAAAAAATAATTAATTCCATTACTTGAAACATTAATATAGGCTTTTCGAGACAAATAACCTGAGTGAAGAGAATCTGTTTTCCTTAGACGGAAACTTGCTTCCAAGTGACACCCGGTCAGTAAATAAATATTCAAAATACTTATCTTAGCAACTAGCAGAAAGGTGTGCTCGGAAAACGCGTGTGAAAGTGGCCGGACATATATACCTACCACTCTCACTCTCTCTCCTGTATATATATATATATATATATATATATATATATATATATATATATATATATATATATATATCCGGTGGCTTCTTAATGAATATAATTACAAAAGTTGATCCAAGAATGAGAGGATTAGAATAAAAATGAATAGACATAATGTGTCCCGATTATTCAAGCAAACATGCTTGAATATATGATATATATATATATATATATATATATATATATATATATATATATATATATATGCATTGGGATCATATATAAATCGACTAGGGACTGGAACCCAACAGTATGAATGGATACGATGTAAAAAGGAAACGATTATAAATTAAAGAAATTTCTCCCTTCTTTTCTCTGTATATATATATATATATATATATATATATATATATATATATATATATATGTGTGTGTGTGTATATATGTTGCTGATAACCCTTGAAGAGTGGACGGACATGTCTCCTTACGATACTCTGCATTCAGTATGCGGACGACAACACTAGTCAGCTAAGTGAAAAACTTTTAGTCACATTACACCTATATATATTCTCACTTTACACAAATATATATATATATATATATATATATATATATATATATATATATATATATATATATATATATATATATATATATATACATAATCAGTAAATATTAATCATGTAGATGGGATATCATAGAGTAAAATTTTCGATCAACTCTCAGCTAATCGGTGAGCTCCTAAAATATTAGAGTGTGAAAATCATTACAGTCGGAAAAAAAATTCCCTGTGCTTTTTTTTTTTTATCTTATTCTCACGCTACAAAGGGTTGTTCATTAGGATGAAACAGAAAATTTGAGATCATGCCTTATTTATTGGTGTGAATGACAAACATCGTCCTTAGAAAGGTAATGATTTTGCCAGTTTTCCTGGCCTGGATCCATTCGAGCGGGGCCCACTATGTGTGGGAGGGTCGGGAAAAGCCTGCGCGCGGCTTTCACAGGCAATTATTGCGTCTTTCGCGTTAAATACTCCCAGCTGACGTTGACATAAAAAAATCCTGTGAATTTCAAATTGAACAACAAACTAGCCCCGGAGTCAGATGACACGACATAAGTACATATATATATATATATAATATATGTACTTATATATAATATGGCAGCTGTATCAGTAAATCCGAAGCCTCGTAGGCAGTTATTAGCTGAAAGTTGATCTAAAATTTCACTGCATAATATTCAATCTATGTGATTAATATTGCCCACTTGATTAAGTTCACTGACAAGAGATTGTGTAGAAAAAAATAAATATTTGGGTAATATAAATGTTTATTTTTATAATTAGACGGTTCATACTTTGTAATAGCTACACACACACGCACACACACACACACACACACATATCGGCAGCGTGGATATAAGAATTTCAAAAGCAAAATGTTACCTCTTTTCCGAAAGAAAAAGTCTAATTTTAATTCTGATCATGTGTCTTCTTCCCCTCTCCATTTTTTAATTCTGATCATGTGTTTTCTTACCACCAGCCATTAGCTTTCGGAAAAGAGGTAAAAATTTTGCTTTTGAAATTTAAAAATTTTTTTTAATTATCAGTCACTTAACATTCACCTGAAGAGATACAACTTAGTTCCCAAACAGGAAAGCTATTGTGTAGCGATTTCAACATGTTTTTTGTTCTAATATCTAAAATAATAATAATAATAATAATATATATATATATATATATATATATATATATATATATATATATATATATATTCATTCTCTTTTTCTCTCCTAATTCTCTTTCTCTCTCTCTCTCTCTCTCTCTCTCTCTCTCTCTCTATATATATATATATATATATATATATATATATATTATAAATTAATTGATTTAAATATATTTTTTTTCGCTACACAGTTCTAAACATGTTTCAAAAATGTAAGCTGAAAGCTCGAATTTAATTTTGTAATTAAATTAAAGACATTAGTTCCATTTCATCCTCAAGCGA